TTGTAGGCATTTGTGTAATTCCTAGTAATTCCCTCAGCCTTGAATTTTTTTTGTAATTCCTTTGATACAAACTCTCTACCATTATTTGCTAGAAGAACTTTGAAGTAATGCCCATAGATTTTTCAACTCTAGCTTTGAAATTATTAAATGCACAAACACATCACTTTTGGACTTGAGAGTTTTGATCCGTTCCCTTCTTTAGAAGTAATCAATAAAGGAAACATAATACATTGCACCTCTATATGATGTAGTCGGTGAAGGGCCCCATACGTTCGAGTGAATATAATCAAGTTTGCACTTACTTGTATCTTTCTTGGCTTTGAAATGTTGTCTATTTTGTTTCCCATAGATATAATGTATACAAAATTCCAATCCATCAAACTTAAGTATAGGAATAAGGTTCCTCTTCATTAAGACTTTCATACCCTTATCACTTATATGTCATAATCTTCTATGCCATAAGCGAAATGAAACTTCCTCTCCTTCATCTACCAAATTCACCTCATCACTTATTATTATGCTTCCCATCAACATATACAAGATTTCAACTCGAAGCACCCTTTTGATACTTTGATCACTCTACCTTAACGAAAGTTATAATCTTCCGAATATATAGATGAGGGAAAAATCAAGCTCTTTTTTAGTTCCGACACATGCCTAACATCCTTATTTTTTTGAATGATCATAACAAATATTCGTAGACAAACCAAACCTATTCCAACCACTTTGCTAGTTTAGTTATTACCAAAGGATTCAAATCCTCCTTCACATAATTCATACGAGTCAAACCGTGATCTATGTGGGCACATGTGATGGTAGCTCCACTATCAACATTCCAATTTTGATGGAACATAGAATTGTCGGCTAACATTAGCACTTCAAATTCAATGAATCCACATGTTGACTCTTTAATTTGGTTTGTTTCATTCTTATATTCACTTTGTCTTTCACCTCCCACATTAGGATCTTTAGAAGAATTCACCTCTTATCTTTTAAAACAGCTATTCATTACCCACAAAACCAACACACTTTCTCGTTATTAGGCCCATTTGATTTTGATGGAAATTTGGAATTGTTTATTGAATGACTCCTTGATAAATCGCCTCGCCACCCCGTGCTTCTATATTTGATTCTACCAAACTACCCATAGCCTTCTTTCGGAGTTCATCGACAAGGAGAGCACTATAAACGGAGCTCAAATCAAGAGAATCTTATTTACTACAACTCAATGTAGTAATAAGGTTATCATAGGATTCCACCAATGTGCAAAGTAAGGTAACCACCTTATCTTCACACTCCATTCTCACTTTAATACTTTCAAGATGACAAATGATATTAAATATTCAAGTGCTCTGGCACATTTACACCATCATTTACCCTCAAAGAATACAATTTTCTTTTTAAGAAAATTTGGTTTGTGAGAGAATTTGTTTGATACAAACTTTCTAATTTTTCCCAGAAATCCTTTATCATTTTTTCCCCAACAATATTAAACAACATTTCGTTCGCCAAACACAAGTGAACGGAGGTGCGTGCCTTTATATCGAGTTCCTCCCAATCATCATTAGTTATATTTACTAGTTTCTCATCTTTTCCATGTAATGCCTTCTATTACCCTAGATGTACCAATAAATCTTGTTTTTTTAATTTTTAAATATCAAAATCATCTTTCCTGTTAGAGCTCTACCTCAAACTTGTGAGATGCCATTTTTGCCAAATTACCGCACCACTTCTTTGAGCTCTGATACCACTTGTTTCCAAATTGGGATAATTCAAATCCCTACTTCATGTGGTGTGCTCCCTACAATAACAAATCTAACACCAATATAAAATGCCCAAAAACAATAATATGTGCAATATATTTGACAAAATATAAAAACAACAGAAACATGTAAAATGGAAATTCACCAAAGAACAACACAATCAAAAGTAAGAAGACACACAACAATTTATATGGTTCACTCAAAATATGCTATATCCATTGGCAAGGGGCAATGATGCATTCACTATAAATAAAATACATTTATAAGTTTGTGGGTCTTGTAGAAATTATTACCTCACACAATAGTAGAAAAAGCTCAAATTGACTTTTCTTACAACATAAACATCAATCGACTCATTCTTTAATATCATCAACCATTCGTTCATTGCAAAGAAATGTCGATAAATATGCCCAATACTAGAGCACAAGAATGCTAGGGTTTGTGTAAAGGGCAAGCTTTCTATGCTTCCTCTACAATATAGAAGTTTTATTCTCCCCCTTTCGCAACCGTCCATTTTGAATGGAGGGCTAAGATTGTCCCAATCACAATGTCACGTCTCTACACTATTTTATTTTTAATAGTTTTTATATAAACTATTTGGATACCAAAATTTGGATGTCCATTCTTCTATTAAACTCGTACTAGCAAAATATATAAAAACAATATTTTCAATAAAATAAAATGACCAAAATACCCTAAAAAATTCAAGGGGTATTTTGGTCATTATAATAATTTATCGAAAAATTATTTTTAATATTTTTTTATAGGTGCACCCAAATGAGAAGATAACATTTACCAAATTTCATATTCATACTATTCGTATAAAAAAAACTAAAAATAAAATATTTTAAGACGTCGGATCTAAGATCAAATAGTGAGTGGCTCTCTTGATCAAAATTCGACGGCTGGATGATCGGGGAGTTTTAGGGGAAGCATAAAAACCTTTCCTTTATGTAAAAACCCCCAATCTCTACCTTCTAAAAGTTTTCTGCACATTTTCTTATATTTTTTCTCTACAAATGCACTCTTTTTTCCTTTTTTTCTTTTTTTTTTTTTATAGAAATGTACTCTTATAGGCCTCCATAAAAAGTCATTTTTGCATGACGAAAATAGCCCTCAAGAAAGAGAGCGTGCCAAAATAGCAGTCATTGCGCATCACGTCTCAACAGTTCTATACATCCTAGAACTCAATGTACATGCGTGCCTTCTTCAAAATCCATTTTTGAGATAGTTTTTGACCTAATCTTGTAGTTTATGATTTGTAACATGGAGATCATGAATACGTAAGAAATATAAATTTTAAAAATTAAAAATAATAACTTTTTATGAAAATATGTAGACAACTGATTTTATCCTTTTCAACGGGACCGCAACTTAACATCCATATTTAAGATGTGCCTTAGGGGATGCAAAGCGTCCCTCGATGCATAAAGAACGTTTCCAATAACAAAATGATAAAGAGATAATAACAATAAAAAGTATAGAAAAAGGATATTTACTTTTAGTACAAGGAGGTCACTAACACTCTTGTCCATCAGATTTCAAATCGGGTGGTTGTGAGATTGTGATTGAGTAGACTCAAAGTTAAACATAAATAAAAGATAAATTTTTTTTTGAACTTGGTGATACACCCCCAAGCCATCTAATTTTGCTTTTAATCACTAGAAGTAAATGTGACTTCCTTGTAACAAAGATAAATAGTCTCATAGTGAATCATCCCTAATAAAATAATAAAACCCAATTCTGGTTATCTAGTTCGGATATAGATAAGCAATTTTTTAAGAAGAAACTCGGATCCCTTATCCTAGGGATGTTAAGGGATCGGGTTGTATTTAGGTCAACCCCAACCCAAACCCCCATGACTTGATCTTAGCTTAACCCAGACCCAGATCCAAAATCTTTCCATCTTTTGTGCTCCCCATGGGAGCCTTGATGTTATTCAGTCCAGGAGTATCCCGGATTCACAATTCTTCAAACCCATATCCTTAGACCGGACAAAAAAAAGTAATAAAGCTTGCACACCTTCAATTTAAAGCAAATAATAATGAAAAAATTATATAAAGGTAGAACTAAAGATGCCCCTAAAAAATTTATTGGAAAAAGTTGTTTTAATATTGAAAAACCCTCTAATTGATCATCTTGATCGTGATGTACGAATATAATAACAAAACAAAAAAAAAAAAGATTTTGAGTTCCTAAAATAGTACATCTTGTAATACATTATCTCAACCATCCATTTTCAAGATTTTCATATGTTTATAGATCTACTTGATTTTAACCACGTTTGAAGTTCAAAATTTTATATTTAGAAATGAAAGTAGATTTTCAGATAAGGGTGTGGTTTCAATAAGGTTGCAACCTTAAACAATCCAATTAGGACACACCTCCAAATTTTATTATAACATGTAGTTTTAGTGTAAAATGTTTTTAGTATTATCTAAACATGTATTTTCATATCTAATTATAAAATTTTAAATTCCAAAAATAGTTAAAATCATGTAGATCTGTAAACATGTGAAAATCTTGAAATTGGACGGTCTAGACTCAAAATCTTTCTTTTTACACATTCATACATCTCGATGTCGAGATGATCAATTAGAGGGTATTTCAACATTAAAACAACCTTCACCAATGGATTTTTGAGGTGCATTTGTACTTCTACATTTGCAGGTTGCAACCTTATACAAACTTTTCCCTTGAGATAATCCTAAAAAGAGTTTATATCAAAACTAGATGTTATAATAAAATTTGAAAATTCGATTTAATTGGATTGCTCAGCCCTATAAAAACCGCACCCAATAATAATAACCCACTCCTTACCCTACGCCAACCTTCCAAAACGTACTTCCTTCCCAATATACCATTCTAGTTAATCTCTCTACCTTCCAAAACGTACTTCATTCCCAATATGCCATTCTACTTAAATCTCTCTACCTTCCGAAACGTACTTCCTTCCCTATATGCCATTCTACATAATCTCTCTACCTTCCAAAACGTACTTCCTTAATCTCTCTCTCTCTCTCTCCATAAATGGTCCTCCCTTTCCAAAATGCAATGCTCAGTTCCCTGACCCCTCGCATGCCCCTGTCTCTATGTTTAACCCCTTACTAATTTATCCATCAGATCACAACTTACTATTTCATCCATCATCATCAATCTCTCAATCGTTTCATTTCACCCCTTACTATTTATCCATGAACTCTCTCTCATTCTCTCCCCCAAAATGACCCCCAACCCCTAAAGCCAAAGAAGCCAGGGCGTCGGTCCTCCTCCTCCCTCCCTCTTAACCACCCTTCTCTCTCCACCATCCCACGCTGCAAGCTGCCAGGCCGATGGCACCCTCTGCCAATACAACAGCTGCGGTGCTGGCAAACTCCTCCCCGACTGTGCCATCGGATTCGCAGCCGACGGCCTCACAGGCGGCCGTGCTGCCCCCATTTACACGGTCACCAGCCCTTCTGACTCTTACCCTAATCCCACTCCAGGGACCCTCCGCCATGCCCTTAACCAAGCTCTCACCAACCCACTTGGCGTTTGGGTTCGTTTCTCCAAAGACATGGAAATTAAGGTCAGTTATCAACTTTGGGTCCACTCTAACACCACAATCGACGGTCAAGGTGTGAGCCTGAGGATAATCGGACAGCCGGCGGTTCTCGAGAGGGTTAGGAGCGTTATTTTGCATAATTTTGAGATTAGCGGGGTGCCTAAGTATGATAGTGTTCATGTTTTTGATGGGTCGACGAGCATGGTTTGGATTGACCATGTTACGTCTGGGGAGTCGGAGGAGGGGTTGATATCGGTTGTTCAAGGCTCCATTGATGTGACCATATCTAATTGTCATTTGAGAAACCACAACTTTAATATGTTACTTGGTGCGTCCGATGGTGATACTGTTGATAAAAATACGAGGGTTACGGTGTACAGAAACTTCTTTGTTTCCTCCAAACAAAGGGTGCCGCATTGTAGGTATGTGAACTCAAATCCCTCTCTCTCTCTCTCTCTCTCT